AGCTAAACCTGAGTTGATCTTTCATAATAAATATTCAGCTAGTTTATCGTCTTATCTCCCGTTCTGCTCGTGGCATAAAACTTGTTCGTTATTGGCTGTCGCTCGATGGTTCGATCCGAAAACTCGTTCTCGCATGTCATTTTCCCTTTCAGTTCTGTGCCCGCGAGCGCTTTTATTATGCTCTTTCCGTAACGCGCGCTCGTCGTCGCAAGTTATCGACCTTAAAACCATAATGAAGATTTATTTCTATTCACCTTATCTTGTGCCTGCCACTAAACGGGCCAGAAATAGCCGACGATTATATATGTTAATACGTAAATCAAGGTGCACTCGATAGTACACCTGTTAACGAGCATATTTAAATTTCTGACGATGAGAAATAAGAATTATTAATACGTCTTTAGCATCGACATTCAAGCTTAATTTATTATCAATAATATGTTTACAAGACTGCAATAACTGTGAATAACAAATAAATATGATCCAGACTTTGATATCTTAATAATATTTCTAGGTAAATTTTTTAATACATCTTTTAGTTAAATAAACTGGGCGTCTATTATATTGTCAGATTTGAAATGAAATCAAAACTAATAATATATAAGCCTAAGTGGGCAAATTAAGAAAATTTTGGAATGAATATCAATTAGGATTAATAATAAAGCTAATAAGCATCTTACTGCATCAAATCATTGCAAAGAACTTATTGTAAAAATTTTTTTTACTTTTACGGATTTGAATCTTTTGACAAGAAAAATTCATTCTATTAGTTTACGCCGTAAAAATTTTTTTCTTTCTTTACCAATGAGATGCGAAACAATAATTATCGTTGTTACATAATTATATAGCGTCACGCCATGCACGTATATAATCGTGTGATAATTTTCCATAGACATTGCTCTTTCGCACTCGCAATTATTGACGCTCGATAATTAATTCATGCCCTTTACACTCCTTCGCGAGACATTTGCAGAGACAGTATCGAGTCGGTTACAAAGGCGAATACCATGAAAATGCAATATGTCAATTAGATAGACGGACAAGCGAATGGAATAATTGCTCTCTCTGGAATTCTTTTCGTTGTCTCGGGCCAAAAGGAAGAAGGGGGAGGGGGCAAGAAAAAGGAAACAGTGGAGAAGTCGCTGTGTCATTATGTACAACACTCTTGCCACGTTTACGGCATGTGGATCGTGCAACTAGTGTCACTACTCTCTAGGTTGATGCAACCTTCGAGTAAGTTTGCGGGAAGCGTGACCGTTCCACTAATCTCTGTCGCCAAAATCTTTCAGTCTTATTTTAACGTCGAAACATGACGTGGACAATAGCTGCCTTCCTTACCGAACAATACCTGCCGAATTCTTGGCAGACATCTGTTAAAGTTACCAGAGTTATTAGAAATTTGTAAAGTGAAAGCATATATCGGGCTCGTAACAGGTATATTTATAAATTTGGGCTTCAAGAATTGTGGCGACTTACAAAGAAGAAAAATTGTTAGAGAAGAACTGAAGAACTGAAAAAATTGAAAACGGATTTAACGACCTTCACAAAACCATTACGAATCTTATTTTTCTAAATCGTTTTCTTTTTTCTTTTTAAACATTATAAATTAGGATTTAATAATCCTGATTTTAACAATATAAATGTAGATTTTAATAATATAAATTAAACTGGAATGTTATATGAATAGTAAAGAAAAGCTTTTGTTAACAAAATGTTAAATGAATTAAGTAAAGAAAGGCTAAATACTAGCCTCGATCGTATTTAACCTTTCTTTATTTATTCAAGCAGATTAAAAAAATGTTTAGTTAAAATTGAAATCTTTTCTTTAGCTATATAAAAACATTAAATAGATGTTCTTTCGTCATTAATGTTATTAATGTTAAATGTACATTTATTAAATCATCGAAACGTTTAATAAATAGTTTAAAAAACATAAATCCAATTTTAAACGTTTATTTTTTTCAGTTTATACTTTTGTTACACGATTTCTAACGTTTATTAAATTTTGACATTTTTGTAATGTGTTGTGCTTGATTTATGTATATATAGTGATCTAGTTTAAATTGTCATTAAAAGTTATTAGACCCTAATTTGACATATTCAAAAAAGAAAACAAAACGACTGAAAAATATAAAATTTATAAAACGCAGCCGTGAAATGAATTTCGAAACTCGCTACATCTGAGAAATTTCTAATTTTTTGAATTAGACGAATTTATATCCACGAGATATTTGTGAGTCACTTTTCCATTTAAACTATCTTACACGCGATGTAATTGTCGGAAAATTATGTCGTTGCGTAATGGAACTTCGTAACAATGTCTTAATTGTAGTGCAATTTTTGTTACAACCATGTACCCGTATCTTTACGGGTTTGTAGCCGGTCTTCAACTGATTTATTTAAGTGTACACATTAATGCGTATATTTTATTTTTATATTCAATTTGTAACTACTGTGATTAGTTCCGCAGATAAATTGAGTCTTCCTCTCAGAAGATAAACTTTCAACGAGGTCAATGAGTAAAAATATCAGCAGAAGAAAAGAAAATAGAGAATGTATGAAATCATACATATTGTGCGCGTGCGATTTTCTCACGGAAAGAACGATTTCAAATATCTAAAAATTTAGTTAGACTTGAAAATAATGTTGTTGGACCATCAAAATAATTATGTAAAACACAAACTAATTATTACACGAGTTCACATAATGTTGAATATACCCAATTTGATTTATTTTTTATTTTATTTTTAATTATTGATCGCCACTGATTTCTTATACTCAATATGTTGATTAACTAATGAAATTAAACAACTTAATTTGAGATATGTATTCAATTTTATTTAAATTTAGTTCGTTATTTGCTAAGTGCACATTTTAATATGAATGTTACTTTGAAACTAATCACGAGTAGATTGATTTACATTTTGATATACATGGAAATTAAAAGTTAAATGTTATTTAACTCAAGGGATTGGGACTCTTTTAATATTTAACAGTGTAGAATATTAAATTTTTGTCAAATGTACAGCATTGCTTAAGATTTATACATAATTATTTTAATGGTTCAATAAAATTATTTTCAAATCTATATCTATTAAATTTTTAGATACTTCACAAAAGAACATTGCAAAAGTGACAAAGAACTAATGTTATCAATTGAAAAATTATGTTTGAAATAGATATTCTAGAATCTAGATGGTTAAATCTTAAGATCCTATGGTTCCTGTACTCGACTTGGGCTTGTTTCGATCATTTTAACTTTGATATAAAATACCTCGAGAATGCATTTTTGTACAGAATAGATTAACAGAATCCATCATTTGGCCATCAAGAATATCTATTTCAAACGTGATCTATCGTCTAACATTTTTTGATATTTTTTATACATGCACGTTTCCTTGTCAGTCAAATTATTCTTTCCGTGTTGACATTTAAATTATACATGAGGCTTGCTGCCTTCATGTAAACGACTGTCGATTTACGACGCGGAAGGAAGTAACGTTCTCGAGGCGCTCTCATCTACCTGTGTACTACTCTCTCGTTACCGTAGCGATACAATTCACTACTCGCGCTCGCGTAATCGCGTTCTCCAGCGCGTTGCAGCGTGTCGGAGGCCCCGCGCTCGTTCCGGGAGTTCCCCGGTCCCCGACCCATGTCGAGAACTTGAGAGTCGCCACGAGTTGATCCCTCTTGTTCCCTCTCTCTTTTCCCCATCGTTGTCCATCTCCACGCCATCGTTTCTCTCTATTTCTCCCCGTGTATGCTAGCGGGGCCTCATAGGGAAAGAAGAAAGAAGAAACAGAGTCAACGGAATCAACAAAGATGCGATGACAGAGAGAGGAGGCAGGATATGTATATGTACGTAAGAAGGAACGACGAGAGGAGAGAAAAGAGAAAAGAAGAGGAGAAAGAAAAAGGCGCGTGTGGTATCGAGACTCCCAACGATGGAGAGTGTGAGAGAGAAAGAGAATGCATCATTTATTATGCGCTCTCTGGAACAAGCCCCCTCAAGTGCTAGACAAAAAAGTACATGCACAACTAGAGCTTACTTTAATAATAAAATATAAAATAAAGTTTATAGCGAATATAAATACACGTGCGAATATAGTATAGTGTATGTACGAGTGTGTATTAGTATAACTCAAGACAGAGGGAGACAGAGATACGCGAAGAGTCGTACACGCGCACAAAGAGATGAGAGGACGAAGGAGGAACGACAATCGGGAATAACACGCGGGGGGTCTCGGGTTCTCTTATGAGAGGACGACGGACGATGACGGAGGGAGAGAGTTGGACCAGCAAGGAAGGGTGCGCGCAGGGAGCGAAGGAGTAGCTGCGGTGGCGGAGGAGGAGGAAGAGGAAGAGGAGGAGGAGGAGGAGGAGGAGGAGGAGGAGAACTCTCTGGACCAAAGCGCGGGAAGCAGCGCGAGGGGGGGTCCGAGAACGACGGTAGAGTGACGATAGAGAGGGGTCCGGGGGGTCGGTGGGGGTCTGGCAAGGAGCGCGGGATCCCATTGGTTCGCGGCCGGGCCATATTATAAGCGGCTGCAGTCCGTGCTAGTTAATGTTAGCTCGAGCCTCCACGCGAGACGACGCATCTCTCTTGTCCGCCGTCGCCGTCCGCCGCCGTTACTACTGCTACTACTACGACTACTACTATACTCACGCACGCCTCTACAGAGCGCCGGAGTATCGCGTACCGCGTGAGAGCCGTTCACCACACGTTCACGTAACACAGACACCGTACGTCTGCAAAGAGGAAGAGAGAAGGAGACATATCAACCGGCTGAAAGATAATACGCACGTTGTTAAAACGACACAGCATCAGAAAGAGATCCGCGATCCTTCCGCAAACGCGCTATATCTATATATATATATATATATATATATATATATATGTATATATATATATATATATACACACACACACCACACACACACACACGCAACTTGATTTCATCCACGAAATCCGAGGAGTCAGTTCCCCCCCTCCCCTTTCTCGCGTTTGTCGGTTCGTTCAGTGTTCGCGTCGTTCAGCTATTGTTCGGGGAACCGCGTGTCAATCGCAGCGGCGAGTGTCAAAAGTGAACGAAAAGGAGAACGGGAATCCCTAATTTGCTAGGTCCAGTGAGGAGGCGAAAAGAGAGAGAGAGGGAAGAGAGTAAGAGATAATAAGACAGAGAAAGGGACCCAGTTTCTTTTGGAACACGCCGGCGAGAAGAGATCCAGAAGCACGAGATAAATCAGGATCAAGAGTGCGAAAGAGCGAATAACGAAGTAAGTCCCGTTGTTTCACTGGTTGAAATCTTCCCGCGGACGAAATTTGAGAAATGTATCTCGATCATATCAGCTACATCAATGTTACAATATTAATGATGTTATATATAGTTTGTAAGTTTTTGACGATGCGTTGGTACAGCAACACGCTGACTACGCTCAACAGAAAAAGTAAGTGTTGTATGATTCTTTAGTACGATTGATCGTGTTTGATAGAATGTTTATTTTGTAACTATCGGGAGTTTTCTTCGCGCTCATCGAATTATACTTTATTATACTTTTAGATGTAGAGGAACAGTCCTGCCTCAATGAAGGAAACTATTAATTGGCTATGTTTGGCAGAAAAAGCAGAAATTAAAATTTTTTAATATGATTGGTTTATACATTTAGATCCATGAGGGACCAGAGGCAAGAACCAATATTGAAGAATTTTATAATGTTACAAAACTGCTTTTTCTGCTCAACGCAGCCATTGATTTATACATTTAAATCCAGTGAAAAATTAACGGTAAAACCAGTCACATTAAAGAAATTTTGCAACAGTGCAAAAGCTGCTTTTTCTGCCGAATGCAACCACTATATATAAATAACTTGAGACACGAAGACGGATACATTAAATTTCACTTGTTCGCTGTTTCATTGGATCGCGTTCATGAATTTCAGAATTAAATTTAATCTCGTATTGACTTTAAAATAATCAAAATAATATTTTATGCGATAAATTACGCCATTTCTGAGGTTTTTAAAGTCTAAAGGCGAATCAAAGTCGTTAGAAAATTCTGATTGAAGAGTCAAAGGTCTATATCTTTTTGATTCTAAAATAACAAATGACATTTTATTGTCATGTTAGATAAACCACGTGGAAATCTCGCCATTTCTAAAGTTTTTGAAGCCTACGAGTCAAAGTCGCGTTAGAAAATCCTAATAGTTGTTGAGGATCTATATTGATTTTTGACATAGTCCTAATAAAAAAAATAATCCTTGATGTCAACGTGGATTTCTAGAAGATACGGGAGAAAAAGGAAGAGAATAACGACGAGAGATTTGACATGTTCGCGTTTTCCCACTTGCTCGACCCGACAAGTAGAAGCAAACAGGTGGTCGAATAGACGACAACCGGCAGCTCGTGTTGACACGCTGTTTTTTCACAATTTAATCTTTTTATTTCTTTTTACATCTTTAATGAATATATTTAAATTAAGAAACCAGTTTTCATTCAAGTATGTAATTAAAAATTAATTTTTTTTTATCTTACAATTAAATTCGACAAATTTATTTTGATAAAGTATTCTTGCATTCTGTATTGCGATTAAATTACTTAATTAAAAATTAGATACACAGAAAGAACGATTTTGCTGAAGTATTTAAAAATTTAGCTAAATATAAATATCAAAATAATTTTGTTGGATCATCAAAATAATTATGTAGAATGCTAAAATGGTTATCAGAATATAAAAACTCTGCAATATTTCTCATCATGCTCAAGTATTCTATATAATTATTTTTACATTAATAAAATAATTATTTTGATGGCTTAATAACATTATTTTCAGATCCACTATATCTAGCTTTTTTAAATTTTTAGATGCTTCAGCAATACTATTCTTTCCGTGTATAGTAAAAAAAATTAAATCTTTCGTTCCACACAATTGTCTCGTAACGTTCTGGTAGAGGAAAAATTACCCCCATTATTACGATACGCGCATTGCTTTCACTTAAAATAGCGAGCGGGTAATTTGAAGTGTTAAAGAGCGTGGTTAACCCCTCATGCACTTGACCTTTGCGCACTTGTGCGGTGCTGGAGAATAATTCAAGGGTAGTGAACAGCATCTGACGTTTATTCCCGTCTGGTATAATCTCAACCTAAGACACGGTTCGTAATCAAATCCATACTTTGCATTTCGATTAGGACATCGTTGCCATATTAAAATTTCCCTTTCACGCTCAGCCGTTTCCACATTTTTCCATAAACTTAAAAACGACAAGCGGCGTGCGCAATTGAAGAATAAATAACGTGCGGTTTCTGATAATAAGTTTCTATACACGAAGGCCAGACATAATCAATTCCGTCGGAGTTACCTCTGAATGGTCAATATTTATATTGGGACGCAAACAAAGTTTCTTTCCTTTGCCGCAGTAAAAAGGAAAGGAAGAAAAAGACGAAAGCAACGCACAGTGCGTTAGGTGACCGGCCATGGACCGCGACTAAACATGCACGCACGCACGCACGCACGCACGCACGCACGCACGCACGCACGCACGCACGCACGCACGCACGCACGCATAGCGGCCTCCTCGCTCGTTTTCAGTCACACCCGTTCTCCTTGTCCTTCTATCGCGGCCCACGCGGTATTTCTTACCACTGGGACGAGACGCGCTTTTTTTCTGCATCCGCGGTGGATCGATCGTTGTGGAGTTTCGCGGAGGCCCCGCGATCAAAATCGAGACCGACCGCCGAGTTGTCCACCCACACACGCGACCCAAGAGAGAGTATCTCTCTCATTATATCGCTACGAAGAAGAAGAAAAGAAAATAAAAAGGCTCGGGATGTGCAAATATCGTGAGAAATTTTTTTAAATCGCCTTAAACTCCGTTGCATCACGATTCTTGCGTTGAATATATTGTTAAAAAAATATATAAAATGAATTACATGAATAATATATGTAAAAATTACACAACTTATAGTAGAAATTAATATATAAAATTGCGTTTTTACAAAGCTTAATACTTTCATCTTTAATTGTGTAAATATATCTTTATGGTAGAAGAAAAATTACAGTAACAATAGTATATTTTATAGTTTCTGTATAAATTTTAGTTTAGGGAAATAATTAGGAATCGAACTTAATTATCATCTCTCACGGTTTCACCGAAAGAATGGAATTATTAAAGTAAAATTTATTAGATACAAATCTACAAATAACATTATTATAGATTGTACAAACTGGTTGCTAGAATATCAAAATTTTTTTGTAGTATTGTGCATTATGTTTGAATGTCTTGCATAATTATTTTAATAAGTTATGAAATTTTTAGATACTTCTAATTTTAATAAAATCGTTTCTTTCCGTATTGTATGAAAATCGCTAAATAATGCGCAAATAAAAATACATGCGCAAGGTAAATGCAGCTTCAGCAGCTTGATAAAGAGAGGGAAGCAGAGAGCATTCGAAAAGAAGTTGAGGAAGAAGATCAGGCGAGGCGGTGAAAGGGAAGGGTGTGTTACGGAGTCTATCTTTAGAGTTCATTCAGAGAATCTTTTGCTCTCGTACAGCCGGGCGAGGGCCAAACGTCAGCCGATTCACGCCTCATATTCCACACACAACACTCACTCACACATACACACGTTCACTCGCGTATTCTTCTCCGGTATGTAGCTAGCGCCCGTTAAACATGGCCTAAATGCAGCAGCGGTGTAATACCTTAACAGGTGTGGAGAATTCGCGTTCTAAGGCGGATCCGATGTAGTCGTTTAAAGAGACTAATGCCCGTATTCATAGTCAGATCTTGTACTTAAGACTTCCTTAAATTTATCTTTAGATATTCTAGAATTATTTCATTGGCTGCTGAGCATCTAAAGATAAATTTAAGGAAGCCTTAAATATAAGGTCTAACTATGAATACGAGTATAAGAATCGCTATTATTTTTCACATTTACAAAGCTTGATTAATTTCCGTTTTTTCTATTTATAATATAAACGTATTCATGTCTGACGAAATATTCACGGAGAATAATAATCTTTTCTTTTTTCTTTGGAGAAAAGAAAAGATGAATTGTGCAAAAAGTTCAGTTAGAAAAGAACATATCTAATTACAATCTGTAATTGACTTGTAAGATTTATGGAAAACACGAGACATGAGGTTTAATTTCAGAGCGAAATCTCTAAGTAGTAAGATTGTAAACAGATATAGCTGGTTTGAATTTGTGTGTATAATGAATTCAAATAACTGGTCAGTAAAAAGAAAACTCGGGGAGATTGATTACTGATTCCGGATCTCATGATTCATTCTCCGAGATGTAGATGATAAATCTCATTGAAAAAGAAAGAGATGGAGAAAAAGAGGAAAGATAAATAAGATACTTGTGTCTGTTCACGATACTTTTGCGCTACATTTTTGAAATTTTTCGGATCGAGAACCACGTAGTTGCGGACGATTCTGCGTAAAAGATGGAAACTTGAGAGTAACATTATTTTGAGAAAGGAGATCAACGATTGATGCATTCGATATATCTTTTCGGAAGTATAATCATAAACTTTAGACATAACGGGCCTTTCCTAAATATTTGCGACTCAAAAGAAGTCAAGTGTATAACTGTTTTACGATATCATGATCGTCGTTTAATTCAAAGAATCGCGGAAAAGAAGACACAATTTCTTTGTATTTTTATAAATTTTAGTAAATACCAAAAAAAAAGAATTCGTCATTGATTCGATTCATTCAAAATATCACAATTTATGCGGTTTACACGAATTATTCTATGGAAATAATGTTTGATTTTGAACCTGCTGAAGTATCTAAAAATTTAGGTAGATGCAAATCTGAAGAATATATATTGAGTTGGAGTCTTATTTTTAGATACTTTAGCATAATTGTTCTTTCCTTGTACATTAACGGTTTTTAACGTTTAAACGATGTTTAATAAATTGCTGTACAATTACAAAATATATTTCAGCTTCACGAATACATCCAGTCTTTCGACGTTCAAGAATCATCTTCGAGTGAGACGTGGACGAGCACCCATGGGCGATACTGTAAATATCCGCGAACGTGTGCAAAGCGCGGCGGAAAGGCTTATGATCGATTAAATCCGCGGACGGCAAACGCGGTCATAGAGGAGAGAAGAAAAAGAGAGATGAGAGAGAGAGAGAGAGAGAGAGAGAGAGAGATTTCATAATTTCCTCGGGCGGAGGCCGCTTCATTTCTGAACACTGATATTTCTTCAGGGAGATCCGCAAATATCGCGGCGTCCTTTACTTAGCCGCGTATCGGCATCGCGA